AAAGATTAGCAACCTTCTCATTCACATATATACATTTCATTAAAGACATAATTGAATCATAACACTTAGGAAAACAGAAAACAAAGTCTAAATTGGTTTTCCAAAATAACACATTGTTTCTTTGAACAAATATACTTCTAATTTTACAACTGGCACACATGGAGCTTGAGAAAGCATGTCAAAGTATTTTCCATCCTTGATCAAAGATAGTAATTTATATTTGATATGCACCTTTTCAAGTCAGTTATCAAACCCAATCCAGAAGATTGCACTAGCTGAATTATTTGCTCTAATGTAACCAACAGTCCTTTAACTTCTCTCAAAGTTCCTTAATTAGGTTCTTCCAAAACAAATAACTCCATTCTCTTTTAAATTAAGTTTTAAGTAAAACCCTTAATTGGAATAATTGTGAGAGACATGAAACCATCTTGAGATAGGACTCTAGTCATTTTGGAAAATCCCTTGGAAAACTTTGTATCTTCTGCTCAAGGAGGAACATCAACATTTGTTGGGAATTTCTTCATATCTTCTCTCTGTTCAGGAACTTCAGCACAATTCTAAATTTCATTTTTTAAGGTAAATCTAGTACCAAAATTAATTCATTTTTATAGTAGCCAAATATTCTTTGACTACTTACTCTGAGTTAAAGTGACACATGCACACACGTGGAAATATAAACTGAATTTCAGAAAGATTCCTCAAACATCCTTAGGAATTAAGTCATTGACTCAAGTTGGCAAGAATAGAAGGTTTTTGTCATCTTGGGTGCAAATTAACCAATGTACTTGCTTCATCACCTTGTTTTGGAGACGACAGCTTCCATGCTTCAGCTTGTATGGGTCTTATCTTTAGCGGAGGAACATTGGGTGGAATCTGACTTTACTTCTGAATCCACGGCTTGGTCGTCCTCTTTGGCATTAGGCTGCTCTCCAGGTGTATCAGCTGCCTCCACAACTTTGATGCTCTTGCCAACTGTGCAACCCATCGTACTCTTCAGGGTCTCAATCAGCCAGCGCCAACTTTCCTTCTTCAGATCAGTGAAGTCCAGAAATGGCAGAATCTGAAAGCTGAGGGCATCTGTAGAGCTTCTTGTCCAGAGCTAAATAGCCTTTCCAGCTGGGAACCACGGAGCTGAAGGATGTTTGGGTTTCTTTGACAACCTTTAGATGCTGCCAATCAACCCTTGTTGAGAGAGGGCTACAACGTTTTGCCTCTCCTACAAAGCAAAGAAGCATTCTTGCCGACAACACATGTTCTGGCCCAGTGATTCCCAAAGAAGAATGATGTTGACTGTTAACTTTCCAATGCCCTTTGAGGTTGGCCTAGGACTGGTGGATCCAGTGAAGGAATCCTTATTACCATAGTAACACATTGACCAGCCTTGTCAATATTTGCTATGATTTCTTTCCACGCAATCTGTGGTTCAAACATTTCTTTTATAAAAGTATATTTATCATAACCAGGAAGGGCTTGACTGTTCGGCTGAATTAATTCCTCACAGGTGGTTAGAGAAAATGCCACTGCTGCAGCTGATTGCCTTACTTGGAGTCACAACACAACTTTTCTCTTTCTTTTATTTTTATCCGAAGGCCGGTTATGCAAATTGGTGAGGAGCATCCACTTCCTGAGGCCAATTTACCTCAGTGCAGGATTGCGGAACATCATTATTTGCATTATTAAATGTACATCATTGCTTTATCCTACAAGTATGTGTTTGCAGACCACTGAATTTATCCTAAAATGAATTCAAATTTATGAAACAGCACGTTTTAACCCCTGGTTTCATGAACCCGTTTTGTGATTAGTTATATTCTTGATATCACTAGATCTATGGAACAAGATGTTATTTCTATATTCTTGTTGTGTGGAGTCCACGAGTCATAAAAGAGCCAAGGTTGCCTACCCCTGGACTAGATAGATGGATGGATGGATGGATGGATGGATGNAGAGGGAGAGGGGGAGAGAGAGAATGATTATTACTATAAACATTGTTCTAGGTTCTTTAGAGCATGCTTGTTTTAGATTTAAAACACTAATAAACCTTAATGGAGCAAGACACTTAGTTACCATTTCCATGCCCTAACCCAGGGTTTCTCAACCTTGGTAACCTTAGGATCAACTCCCAGATTTCCCCAGCCATCACCTCCACCCATCTTAAAAGTTGCCAACGTTGAGAAATGCTGCTCTAACCCATACTTAGCGATGAGCTTCGTTATCTTTCCCAACATGCTGTCCATCCAATCAGTCCACGGGTCTTTCTGTTGACTTCTGCCACCTGGTCTTCACCTCAAATTGTGAGAATCACGTCGTCTGGGATTCTCCAGGCAGACCCCAACCTCTCTAGAAATCCACAGGTTGAAGTCATACATCTCCAGCTTCTTCCTTCTCTCCTCTCCGTTCTGCAGCTACTTTTGCAGAATATTCTTTGTGGTTATAGCTAGGAAACAGCCTTTGGGGTGGCAATGCATTGCAAACCCTTCTCATAGCAACAGCCAGCTCCAGCCTGTTTCCTTAGCAACACAACTCACTTTTTTTTCCTTCGGTTCTGCATTTCCAAGTCTCCAAGGAGAGGCCTGTAATATCCTGGAAAATAAATTGCGTTTTCTATGGTCAGTTTTAAAAGTTGGGCAGGGAGGCAGTGAAGAAAGGGAGGGAGAGAGAGGGGTGGGTGGGTGTGAACAACAATTTCTTTGCTGCTATTTGCATGTTGCTAACCAGGAAAATAAGCTTCCGATACGGGTTGCTAATTGTTCCAATGACTCATCTTGACAACGGGGTGCCATTGCAAAAGGACACAGGAGCAAAATGGCCTCGGCAACCTGCAGATTTGGGGCAAAGGTGAGCAAATTTCAGCTTTCCTGGATTACAAAATTTCTCTTGCTAAGCAGGACAGTTGTTCAAGCGAGTTTTGCTCCCCCCAACACCCTTTCTTGCCACAGTTGTTAAGTGAATCACTGCAGTTGTGAAGTTAGTAACACGGCTGTTAAGTGAATCTGTCTTCCCCGTTGACATTGCTTGCCAGAAGGTCGCAAAAGAGAATCACAGGATCCCCCCAGGATGCTGCAACCGTCATAAATATGAGCACCTGAATTTGGATCACGCGACCAGGGGGATGCTGCAAAGATCCTAAGTGTAAAAAAAACGCTCATCGGTCACTTTTTTCAGGGCTGTTGTAAGTTTGAGAGGGTCGCTAAATGAACCAGCTGTACCAAATTGGAGGCCTGTGTAAGGCTTCGACCAATGATGGGTTAGAAGAATGTGTGAATCCAAACCAACCAGTTGGGAGTATGAAATTAAAAGACCAGCTGCCGATACATTTTCCTTTACCAGACATATCCAGGTGACCCAGAGCTGTTGGGAATAAACCTGTTGCCAGGTGGATTGAACAGGAAGGAGAAAAGCAAAGCCTCCGTGTTTTAGGTTTCTCCTTGTTGAAAGAAAAGTCTTCATCCTGGTTCATCCAAGCCGGGGATAAATAAACAACGTGGCGACTGCTTTGGGAAGAAGGTTGCAGTTTATTGAAGAGCCAGAAAGATGGTTCTTGCAGGAAAGAGGAGAGAAAAAGAAGGGCTGAGCACATGTGGGTAGTAGGTTTTTATACCCACTGAAGCCTTTTGTTTGGAGTAGTTTCCTGTTCCTGTGTTGAGGTTTTTTATTTCCTGTGTCACGTATTCTGACCTGAGTCTGGGTGTGCCTTTCTGGTATTCTTGATGGTGGTAGGCTAATCCTATTATGTCCCAAGGGTTATATCCTGCTTCCCTGGTGATGAGGCTAATGACTCCTAGAGTTTGGGTGGGGTATGCAGATTTTAGGTGTCTTTGTCTTCTCTAGCTGGGGTCTTTCTGATGGTTTACATCTGCATTTGTACAGGGCTGGCTTCTGCTTGGGACACAGAGACTTGGGGGCAGGGTTGGTTTCTGCTTTTAAAATCCTTTTGAGGAAATATATTTTTCTGCCCTTTTAATATTTCCTTCTCTGGGGGGGGCTGACTTCCCACATCCTAATGCAAACTAGGTTGAAACTATCAAGCAATGTTTTATCTATTCGTGTGAGGACTCGCTTCGGGCATGACTGCTGCCATGCAAACTTTCTTTTGATGCTGGCTGGGGATAATGGGTCAAGCAGTCTACCGCCTTTAGAAGAGATCAGGTGGGGAGAAAGCTGCTCTTTTTAAGATAGCATTTTAAGAGGAGCTGGTATATATCTGAAAATCCATAAAATGCTTAAGTAGATACCTCTTATAAATGTACACCTTTCCGTGTATATGTATTTTCTCTTTTTATCTTGCTGCATATGTTAAATAAGAAAAAAAATAAATTTCCAAATAAATCTTACATTCTATAGAAGAATTTGCTTTCACACAGATATCAATTTGCGTCCTCTTCATTCATTTAAAAAACTCTGGCTAGTTTTACTTATTTCCCATATCATACCTTTTGCTCGTTATATTTTTAAAAGTTTCTTACTATCCTATTTCACTTTGCAGGCTCCTTCTTTCCGTCCCTCCTGCTTTGTTTTCTGATGCTTCCCTCAACAATGTCTCAGCAATGTCCATAGCTTTTCTGATTCCTTTAACTTCTCATTCGCTTGAAGGAGACATTGTGTCTCCCTCTCTTTGCACAAGCTGTTTTCTATAGAAACTCAGATTATAATTTAAATCTAGAACTTGAATTTCCACCAGGAAAAATACTTAGGGAAGCAATGCAAGCCCGCCCTCTGGTGGTGAATACTGAAATAGCTGATCACCAAGCCATCAAATTTTATTTCTGCTGCTGAAACATCAAAAGAGTATGAGAACAGCATTTCTTTTTAATGTGTATTTTTATATTTTTAAAAATCTTCAGAAGAGGCCTGTTCTTCTGACTCCATTGTGGAAGGGCCATTCCAGTCCACACCTTGCAATCAACCATGGCATTGTTTAACCATGGCTGGTCAGGTAAAATCGTCAACAGACAGGTTCCATCTAGGACATAAAATATTACAACATTTTGCCCACTGGAGAATGGTGGTGAATAATTCCGTCGTGGTTTTAACCCCAAATTTCTCCAGTTTATGGACATAAGCCTTGGTCCACATGAATGGCTGTTTAGCCCAAAGGGAAAAAAAATCCTAAATTTTCAAAGAGACATTAAATGGATTCCAGAAACATTCTGAAAGCACCATTTGGCGTTGTATAGAAATTGTGTTTGCAAAAAGCAGCTCCCTCTTTTGAACTGGATGCGTGAGATGGAGAATTATGCAAACATATGCAAAGCACAGAGATGAACACATCAGCAAGTTTCTAACAATAAGCAGCTTTCAAGGGTCAAATGCATAATACTGTCCTAATACGTAGCATTTCATCAGCACACCAAGGTGAAGTCTGGTTAGACTTTAGTTTAGTGTGGTGTGCTTTTAGGCAAAAACTATGGTTTGTAGCAGCATGCTGTGAACTCAGTCAATGGCAGTCTATTCACCAACCTCGAGATGCATCAAGTCAGGTGCAAACCTGTTTTGCGGGCAGGGAGAAATCAACAGATATGGGGGAGGGGGAGCAGGGGGAGCAGGGGGAGGGGCCATGCAAATCAGGTTCGTAAAATGTGCAGTTGGACCACAAGGGGGCGCCAGGATCTCGGAATGGAGCAGTTTTGCAGCCAATTGGATTTAGTTTCTATTTGTTTTGGTTGTGTTTTTTTTTTAAAAAAATACAAGTTTAATAAATTTCAAGAAAAATTAAAATACAAAATAATTACAAAAAGGGAGGAGAGGAAATTCCAAAGGAGAAAAGGTTAAAAAGTGAGCCAAAAAAAGGGAGGGGGGAAGGACTGGGGAATTCTGGGAATTGAAGTCCATACTTCCTAAAATTGCCAAGGTTGAGAAACATTGCCTTATAAAGTAAGCCATGAACAGAGTTTGGTTGGATTAGGTGTGTTGTCTGAATCCAGCCATTGTCGTTTGCAAGCCATTGTGGTTTTAACCATGGTTGGTTTGGTGCTTCAAATAACAATTTAACCCAAAGATGTTTTTCCAAAATACAACTGCACTTTCCTGGGGTTTTTTTCATTGAAAATGTTTCGCTTCTCGTCCAAGAAGCTCCTTCAGATGAGAAGTGAAACGTTTTCAGAGAAAAAAAACAAGAAAAACTCCTTTGGGACACCCTTGACCTGGATGATTGAGAATCTCCATAGACAATCACAATTTTGGTTCTTGTGATGTACCTATGGAGAGGAAGTGAAACAGCCAAAAGGTTTCTCAAAGAAATCATTTCCAAGA